TGTTTAGGAGATGATCCATTTAAGAGAATAGTTTAGCGATGCTTTGGCAAACTTATTGATGGTTTATATGTAGCTTTTGGTAGTGTTTTATTGTAGATTTCAGTGTCTTTGATGAAGATCTAACATGTAAACTTGTTGAAGCATTCGAACATCGGGTCGAACAATCATTGCCCTGAAAAGATTTTGGTACGAATATCTTCAACACATCCGAAAGGGATGTTGTTTAGGAGATGATCCAATCAAGAGAAGAGATTAGAGATGCTTTGGTAAACTTATCGAGTGTTTTTTATGTAGTGTTTGGTAGTGTCTTATTGTAAATTTCAGGGTCTTAGATAAAAATCTAACATGCATACCTGTTGAAGCATTCAAACATCGGGCCGAACAATTGTTTCCATATGAAAACTTGAGTATGAATGAATTTAAAACATCCAAAAGGGATGGTCTTCAGGAGATGTTCCAGTAAGAGAAGAGATTGGAGATGCTTTGGTAAACTCATTGAGTGTTTTTATGTAGTATTTGGTAGTGTTACTATTTTGAGAATTTATAGATGTCTACTTTCTATATTTATGCAATATTTTGTATTGAGAATTTGTTAATGTCTATTTTTTATGTTTTTTTTTCTAATTATGAATCAAATATATATTTTTAATTATTCTGTTGCATATCATGAAACTATTATTAGGATATGATCTTGGAATATAGACACTCTCAATGGTAAATTAATGAAATTAGTTGATATTATGATTCATAGGAAAATTAATATCTTATGTATTCAAGAAACTAAGTGGGTTGGAGAAAAGGCTAAGGAGATTGATAATTTAGGTTTTAAATTTTGGTATTCTGGTAAGAGTCACACTAGAAATGGTGTAGGTGTAATTATAGATAAGAGTTTAAAAGATAATGTTGTAAAAATTAATAGAGTTGGTGATAGAATTATAGCCCTTAAGATTATCATTGATACTAAGATTTTTAATATTATAAGTGTTTATGCTCCTCAAGTAGGTTTAGATACAGAGTCTAAAGATAAATTTTGGAATGACTTAGAAGACTTAATACAAATGATACCTCTTGAAGAAAGAATTTTTATTGGAGGAGATTTAAATGGACAGGTCGGTAGAGTGGTAGAAGATTTCAGAAATATTCATGGTGGCTACGGTTTTGGAGTAACCAATGAAGAAGGTAAAGCTATTTTAGATTTTGCTTTAGCGTTTGATTTTGTTATTACTAATACTTTATTCAAGAAAAGGGATGAACATCTTATTACTTATAAGAGTGGATCTAATAAAACACAAATTGATTATTTTCTTATGAGAAGAAGAGATCGTCG